TAATGTGGGGTATCCGAGCCCGTAGGCTCGGACAAAAATTACCCGTATAAAACGGAGTCGGGTAACTGTTTCCCGAGACGAGACTTTGCCCTTCGTCATAGCCTCGTCTGGGGATCCTCTCTGTCTGGAGGCAGAGAGTTTGACCAGCACAGCTGGAGACAAGTATCAAACTGCAGGATATCTACCAACCGCCCCACGCCGTTAGATGTGGCACAAGGCCGAATTTAGTGTGAGGTATCCGAGCCCGTAGGCTCGGCCAAAAATTCCCCGTAGATTTCGTATAAAACGGGGTCGCGAAGCTGTTTCCCGAGACGAGACTCTGCCCTTCGACACAGCCTCACCTGGGGATTCTCTCTGCCCGACAGTAGAGAGTTTGACCAGCACAGCTGGAGACGAATATCCAACTACTGTATTTATGTGAATGGGGACATACCCATTATCGTCCGTAAGTATGCGACAACACTCATTGAACGCTCAGTAAGTATTTGACTTCTTATACTATACTGTACTTTTACAAGAGCCAGATCAGTTCTAAAATGGAGTACTGCTGCCATATATGGGCAGTAGCCTCCCATTTTAATTTTCCAGTCTCGGTAGAATTCACAAATGTCTCCGCGTCCTTGTGGGTGACAAATTATTTTACACCCTACAACCCCTTTACATACAGACGTAACGTAACAAGCCTTTCACTATTTTATCGCTATTTCTATGGAAAGTGTTCAAACGAAATAAATTCCTTAGTTCCACGTCTTCACGGTTAAGACCCGCCATGACACGCACATTGTAGCGAGTCACCCTAATTCCCATAGTATTCCATTTGTGGGCTGTAAGTTCTACTTGAGCAGCTTCTTCCCGCGAACCACTGTTCTGTGCAACTGAATCCCAAGGGTGTTTTGGCGATTAGTACAATCTTGGCCTGTTCAAGCCTAGGTTTATCCGTTATCTATCCCCACATATCTTCATAAACTGCGCCTTTTACTCTGTAACCCTCGGTACTCTGTCGCCATTTCCATAGAAAGTGTTCAGACGCACTCCATCCCTTAGTTCTAACCTTCGTTCTACGTTCCAGCTCTAACGAGACGGCTAAGACCCATTATGCATATTGTAGCGAACTACCCTCATTCCATTCGTATTCAAGTGGTAAGATGTAAGCTCCATTCGAGTAGCTTCTTCCTACGAAGAACAGCTTTTTAGAACTAACTTCCAAGAGGAACCTTCCCCGATTACTACAAACTTAACCTGTTTATATCTAGGCTCAACCGTTATGTTGCCCACATATCCCCATAAAATTGTACGTCTTACACTTTAACCGTCTTCTTCGAGTGGCTCTTGGGTCTTTTACAGGACCAACATCATTGTCAAAAAATCCTATATTCATTCTTTTAACTAATTAATAAGGATCCCTAATATATTAGTATGGGCATTCACACGACCATAATCTCGTAAGCCATTAGGATCGTAGGAGCACCACATTTACTTCAACCGTAACAGAAGTTGTATGTCATGTTCAAGATATCCTGGCAGAGCTCAACCCTCTCTAAGCTGATTTGAATTCAAACTTTTCCTTCTACTAGACTGGCTACCAACCAACGCTATAAGATCCAAACTGTTCCGCTATTTAGGCGAACACCAATCGTTAACCTGATCAGTTTTGACCTTCACTGTTAATACCCGACATGCCATGTACATTGTAGAGAACTACCCTCATTTCCTTCACATTCCATTGGTGAGATGTAAGCTTCACTCGAGTAGCTTCTTTCCACGAACCGCTGCTTTCTGGGACTAACTTCCAAGTGGATTCTTTCTCGATTAATACAAACTTAACCCGTTCAACTCGAGCGTTAACTGCTATATTCCCCACATAGTATAAACTATATCTATTATTCTGTTACCTATCTCGAGTGGCTCCCGGGTCTGGTACGGGGTGAACACCACTGTAAAAAACAATGATGATGATTTTTATTTTTAGATTTTAATCTTCTACGCTATACCTGGAGAATGCTTCATCCAGGTTCTTCATCAGCCTGACAGGTCCTTCTATTTTATCATCTATGGATAACAGAAAATGAAACTGCCATTTCTGAGATCATAGCGAGAACTATGCATCACTTGTCGGAAAATGCCACACAGAAATCTGAAAGGGCATTAGAAGAGCGAACGATGTAAATTGAACCTCTCTCTAAGGTCTTTAGAATTAAATAAAGACAAAGATTCAATCAAGTTATACTGGTAGATACAAACAAGGGTCCCGTTTTAACGATATCATTGCAGTGTAATTTGAAACTCTTAATAAAACTTCTTGGAATTTTCAAAAAAACTAATATGGTCTAGGGTATCTAAAAAAAGCTTTCCAAAAATTAAGCAAAATATTAATCGTTAGAAACAAAGAAAAGAATACTGAACTGTAATATCAGCCTTCCTATATGGTGTGGGAGAATTGAAATAAACTAATGAAGAAAATAATAAAGAAAATAATAATAAAAAATATTTAATTTTCCCATAATGCAAAAGGAAACCAAAAAGTGTTTCCGGTCACGTGTGAATTTTATGATTCCATTTCATGAAAGGAGATGATCGTTCTCTTCTCACTTCCCAACTATTGACTTTGGACGTGCTTGGTAGCCGTCTAAACGAAAAGCAGATTCAGTCACCCTCACTCAACGTCCGGCGGCTGATTGAGGTCGACTATTCTGTATAATTCCATATCTTGTACCACGTGCGTCAATAAACATTGGCCAGTCATTTTCAAATCAAGTCTTTGATTTGTTTATTGCGGTCCAGTGACATTCAAAATCTGTTAGCGGTACAAAGTTAAATAGCAACCCTCTACAATGGAGGTAAATGCTGGACCTTATAGATGAAGAAGAGACTTTAGCAACAGAAGTGTTGTTCTACACAAGGATGCTGAGAATAACATAGGTCGAACATGTGAGCATCGACGAAATGCAAACAATGGAAACAAAATGGACTCTTATACGTAACATCAGGAAGAGACTGTTGACATTTCTGAAGCACATAATGAGGAAAGAGTGATAGATTGAAAACGACACATAACTAAACTGGTGTGCTTGTATGAATGGATGGCGAAGTAGTGAGAGATATGAAAAAAGACAAAATTTATTACGAAGAAGTGTCACGGGAAATCGCCCAAGTCAAGTGCTGAGAAGAATTGACCGAGTTGGATCCAAAGTCAGATCCAGTAATATCATCTTTTTGCTCGTTTAGTGCATGGAATAATCAGCCGTATAAATCCGCAATTTCTCCTGCCAGTGTAGTTGAACGTAAGGTTATTTTCTAAGATGTGGTCAAGGCCGGAAGTATGGTGGACAACAGTGAGGATCGAACTCACTATTCAGTCGTAACTGATCTAGCGAAGCAACCTTGCTGATGCAGAACCTCACCTCGAAGTTTTCAAATGATTCTCTAAGCGTTGTTTAGATGTGGCACATGGCAGAAATTGTGGAGCACACAGTGAGGAACGAACTCACTACTCAGTTGTCGAGCAAGACAAGCTTGTATGCCATTACACCAAGTCGTAGTATCAAATGATTTTCTAAGCATAGCTTAGATGTGGCACATGGTGATCCAGTCAGCCTCGAACTCACTATTCAGTCGTAATTGATCTAGCAATTCACGTTTGCTAAACATTACACCATGTCCAAATAGTAATTTAATAAGTGAAGTTTAGCTGCAGCACAAGGCTGAAAGTAAGGAGCCTCTAGTGAGGATCGAACCCACTATTCAGCTGTAATTGATCTAACAAGACAAGTTTTCTAACCATTACACCAACTCAACGTGTCTGAATAGTCATTTACTAAGTGAGACGTAGGTGCGACACGAGGCCGAAAGTAAGGATCGAACTCACTATAAAGCTGTAATTGATCTAGCAAGATAAGCTTGTTAACCATTACACCACGTCGAAGTGCCCTAAGTAGAACGTGAGATTTGCAGCGGCACGAGGCCGAAAGTAAGGATCGAACTCACTATTCAATTGTAATTGATCTAGCAAGATAAGCTTGTTAACCATCACATCACGTCGAAGTGCCCAAAGTAGAACGTAAGATATGCTGTTGCTCGAGGCTGAAAGTAAGGATCGAACTCACTATTCAACTGTAATTGATCTCGCAAGATAAGCTTGTTAACCATCACATCACGTAGAAGTGCCCTAAGTAGAACGTGAGATTTGTTGAACCAACCAGCTTATTTCTGATGGGAATATGTCGAGTGCCGAATCGATCATAAGTTGATTGATGCGAACCCAGACATTCATACCGTGATTCTTCGAGCTACCTGTGCTGACCAGAAAGGTATCGACCGGAACGGCGCAGTACCCCGTTACTTAAATATTAAAAAATGTGGGTGTTGTACGATACCTACAGTAGGCGAAAGTCAGCGAGTGGTACCACAATTGTGATTTGATTGCCGTGATTAGGATCAGCCCGTAGAGAATGTTACACACAGAATATACCTGATATAGACATAGTAAAGGGGTTAAAAGCAGTTAGATGTTGCTTAACTCATTGTACATTTTTTTCTTTTTAATCTAATTAGGCAATTTAAATTAGCATCATGCAATGATAACTTTTCTGGATGCCTGCTGGATACCATCAATTATACCACACGCGAAGGTCTTTTTGACATTCGTTTAATTAATATTCATCTGCTAATTACACGATTCTTTTAGTCGTGGCTCCTAACAGCTGAATCCATATGCTACTTCTGTAAAATTCATTTGAAGAAATAGATTTTCACGTGAACTACAGATTGAAGAATTCCGCAAGAACTTTTTGATACCATGTGGAGGTTTGAATGAATAAAATGAATAAAACTTGGGTAAAAAAAAAGAAGATAAGTTCAATAGATTTTGTTGCTGGAGAAAGTAATTCGAGTGGAAACGGAAATGAAAATATGAACCAGGAATAATAAAGTAGAACACAGAACTGAATTGTCTAATATTTTTGTTGGTTTGTGTTTTCATAATGTTTGCCATGTGTACATCCTTATACATGATTATGAAGAAAAAAGCAAAAGCGGCCAAGTCCCAGGTGAGGAATCAACAGAAATATCTTTTTGCATAGAACTCTTTTCATTAACAAATAAATCGGGGAGGAGGAGAAGAAGGAGGAGGAGGAGGAGAAGAAGAAGAAGAAAAAGAAGAAGAAGAAAGCGGAAGGGTATAAAAATAAAAGAGAATTAAAAGAAAAAGAAGAAGAAGAAGAAATTGAAGGAAGGATATAAAATAAAAAGATGCATGGGAAGAAATGGTGTGAAAGACAAATAAAGAATAATGTCGAAACGTAAGAAGAGGAATTAGAAAAGAAGGAATGAAAGAAGGAAGTAAAAGAAGAAAAAGAAATAGGAGTAAGGATATAAAAAAAAAGAATCATGAGAAAAAAAAGTGGGAAAGATAATGAATAAATATAAGAAGAATAAAAGATATTTTTAATAGATTCTCCCTAAGTAAAGCGATATTGCACTAAGTTGCAAAGGGCTACTGGAAGTGAAAGAGACTGAAAATACTTTAGAAGGGATCGGAGACCCAATACTAAACAGGAAACTAGGGGAAAACTTCACTCGTGTTCAAAAGAACAGGGAGGAATGTGAGCTGGACCGGATTGGCGAACCTATCTACGGAGATTTTAGAAGTATAGCGTTGAGAAGAAGTAAGGGAAAAAGACGAAGACATGTGGATATGAAAATAAGAGAGATGTAAAGGAAAAAGAATCATCAGAAGAAAAGGTGGGAAAGACAAATAAAAAATGAAGAAATGAAAGAATTGGAGTAAATGAACGTAGAATAAGAAATAGGACAGGTTATAAAAATAGAAAAGTAAAGGAAAAAGAAGGAAGAGAAGAAAGGTTGGGAAAAACAAAGAAAAAATAATTTTTGCGAACTCTGAATTTCAACACAATAAGAATAATTCAGAATAAGATGATTTACGTAACACAATTGTGACAGTGAGAACACAGCAACTGTCGACTTGTTGCTCATTAGGACTTCAAAACAAATGCTATGTAGGAGCCAAAGACAAACAGAATTTTGGAATAATATATTTACCGTAAGGGAATTTTAAGTACTCAGTGGGCATGGAGGTTACGTGAGGCTGTAGATCACAGAAGACCAGATGGAATGACATAATCCAAATCGTGATGAAGGCAAAGAAAAAACACCCAATGTCTTTATCGAGAAGTCATTGCAATTTATAGATTCCAAAGAAAAAGAATCTGTGGAGAGCATTGATTGTCTATGTCTTGAAAGCGCATAGCATTTTCTTTACAAAAACGTTCACTCTCTAGAAAACGAAAGAGCCACCCGAGCCACTTCTTTTTGGAGTTGCTCCCAGAATGAAGTTTCTGTGAAGAGGCTACTCGACGAGTGGAACTTACATGTTACCAATTGAATACAAATGGAATGAGAGTGGGTCGTTATAATGTGCATGACGAGTCTTAGCCATGAAGGTTAGAACTAGTGGAACTAAGAAACGTAATTCGTTTGAACACTTTCCATGGAAATAGCGATAGAGTAGCGAGGAGACTTGCAACATTTCGATTGTTGGAAAGGGGTTGGAGGGTGGAAAATAATTCATCACCCACAAAAGAGGTGGGTGTGGTTTTCGACTCGATCGAGACTGAAAAAGGAAAAACTGGGCAGCTCCTTCCCATATATGACAACAGTACTCGATTTTCAGCTTGATCTGGATCAGGTATTTACAGTTGCGGTACAGGTAACAGATCATTTCCCAGCATCTTTACCGATGGATTTTATGTGCGAGTTTACCTTGAAGTCTGGATTGTGCTTAAGGTCTAATAGGCGCTCAATACACTGGATCCGCATTCATCCCGATAGGCGTAAATTTAAGGGTAGGCTCGGAAATAATGAAACATCATCATCGAGCGTAACCTGAATTCACTAGTTTGGTTTCGTTGTCATATACACTGAGGCTCCATTTAGTTGTTTCTCCGATTGACAGTAACGACTTTACTCATTTACTGACGTTTATTTTATTTTACCGCCACACTTTGAACTTTTGAGGCAAATACCCATGTCTCTCTGAACACTTGAAAATCCTTGTCTTTGTTTAACTGTATATTTTTTTTGTACGCAATGTAATTTATGTATTTTAGTTTTTATTGGAAACTAGCAGCATGGCCCGGCGTTGTCCGTGCTTGATTAAAAAATCGTACAACTCATACAGCAATCGCTATGACTTGACTTAAAATATTTTTGCCCTTCCTTGCCTTTAAAGGAGTGCCCTTTGCCGGGCTGATGTTGCTACATATGTGCCTTACTTCTTGCCTATCTCACACTGCAAATTTTTTCTAAGCTCTATACTAAACATTAAATCTGTTTACGAAAAAAGAACTAAACAAAATGAACACAAAACGATCAGCTTTAAAAAAGGACTCGTAACTGGAAAAACCGAATGAGAAAAGAATGTTAACAACAAATACTTTTTCATACCAACCCAGTTCTGCGGAATCAGAATCAACGTTGAGTTTAAGCAAGCGAATGAGCCAATTGGAGTAAAGTGCCATGCAGATTTAAATTTTTCCCACTTATGACGAATGCAGCTATCGATTTTTTTTGCATGCTAACATGGTAGTTAACATTCGTATCAGTCAGATGTTGGCTCTCACGCTGGCCAATAGAATCTTCCTGCCTATTCGTGACAGCCAGCTATTGGCTCTCACTCTGGCCAGTAGAAAATGGCCGCAAACTATATGAAAACTGTCGTAGAAGCATGAAAAAATCGATTATTTCCACTATCGATGAGAGTTGGGAAATGCAAAGTCGTCATTGGCCTTCCGCTAACATGGAGCATGTGCATGTAAATTTTGGTGCAAATCCGTCGAAAATTGCGGCCGTGCATTCGTTACACACACACACACACACACACACACACACATCCTGCCTTATATAGATAGAGATAATAAATTTAATGAAACAAATCTTACTAATACCCCTAGCTGTGGGTAAAGAGGTGGAATCCTACCTTTCCCAAGGGTAAGTGAACGTAAGTGAATATAATAAACTTAAGTGGAATTAGAACTCTACGATTATCAATTTCAAATGGACTGAGGGCGACCCACACTATATTCCGTGGTCTTCGGCTGTCATTCAAGAGCTTAGAGAGAAGATGGGCGCCACAAAGGTATCTGAAAGCCCACTGAAAGGATCATGAGGAAGAAGAATAAAAGTTTGTTTCTTTATCCCTCTGGTCCCATAATGACGATTGAAGCAGTTGATGGACAATAATGAAGTATTAACAATAATAATAAAGTTGTCTGTTTGATAAATGAGATCCGAAGTACAGTAATGGGTTCATAGTATTTGCTATTTAAGAGATGTCTTATAAAACGTTTGCTATAGCATGTATCATTTTTGTAGTTTCATATAAAGATTTTACAAACATCTATAATAAAATGCACAACGCCGAGGAAGCATATATTGGGTATACGCAGAAGGTAGTCTTTCAACAGCATCAACACAACGTGAAAGATTTCACGCAGTGCGAGAGTCATATAACGATTTCGGCTTTGAAATAATACACAAATATTTCATTGTAATATTTCAAAAATAAGAATAAACTAAAAGATGTAAAAAGTATGAACAGGTAAATTCAAAAAAGGGATATGCAAATCCGATAGACATAAACTAAAGTCTGACCTTCTATGTATCTTAAGGAATTGAACCCTTTTCTAAAATCTTTAGAGTTGAACAAAGACAAAGATCTTGTTGAGCTAACCTGATGGTTACAAACAAGTGTCCAGTTAAGCGTTATGCTTGCTGTATTATTTGGAAACCCTTGATAAACCATTTAGGATTTTTCAAAAACTGATATGGTTTGGGATAGTGAAAGGAGCTTTCCAAACGCTAAGCAAAGTATAAAGAAATAGTAAAATTTCGCTAGAAACAAAGAAAAAAAGGTATAAACTGTCACGTAATGTCAGTCCTCCTATATGACAGTGAATGCTGTACAATCACCTCACAGATGAAGAAGAGACTTGAAGCAACAGAAATGTAGTTCTGCAAAAGGATGTCGATAATGCCATGAGCCGTAAATGTGGGAAACAGCGAAGTTTTAGAGAAAATGGAAATATTTAACTATACATAACACCAGGAAGAGACAGTTGAAATTTCTAGGGAACATAATGAAGAACGTGGGCTTGGAAAATTTGACACTTACAGGGCGTATTGAAGATAAGAAGGACAGATGAAAACAACGCATAACATATCTGATGAGCTTGTGTTAATAGATGACAGAACAGGGTTTAGGAGAGATAGCAAAAATATGAAATTTAATAAGGGGCAGAAAATTGTGGAGAGTCATGATTCACAACGTTCTGAAAGGATATGTCACATAAAATAATAATAATAATAATATAACTTCTGATAAATGATCCTGGAAAATTGTAGGAGACAACGCAGGAATCTAAGTGCAGCGTGGATTGATTATCGTAAAGCCTTTAATAGTGTTCCACATTCTTGGATCCTTAAGACTTTGGAAATGTACAAAGTCTCCCCTGTGGTATTAAATTTCCTTAAGCACAGCATGGGAATGTGGAACACCAAACTATACCTTAGTCACACTGTGGGCACTGCCATATCCAACTGTATGAATATCCGACGTGGAATTTTTCAAGGAGACTCTCTGTAATCCCTTCTGTTTTGTTTATCCTTAATCCCTCTTACACATGAACTGAACAACAGTAGCTATGGTTACAAAATAAATAAGAAAACATTCAATCACCTACTCTACATGGATGATCTCAAACTCTTTTGCCAAAGACGACAATGAGTTGAAAGGCCTCCTCAATATTGTAAAAATACTTCAGTGACGACATAGGTATGGACTTCGGATTAGATAAATGTGCAAAAAGTAACTTTCAAGAAAGGTAGAATTACAGAAACACCCTTAATAGATTTAGATTTTGTCACAAAGATTAGGGAACTGGAGCATGATGAAGCTTATAAGTACCTAGGAATTAGCGAAGGAGATGGCATACAACACCCCCAAATGAAGGAAAAAATAAGAAAAGAGTACTACAGGCGTGTACGTCTGGTACTAAATACTGAACTAAACTCAAAAAACAGGATATCAGCCATAAACACATTGGCTGTCCCTGTGGTGCAATACAGCTTTAATGTCCTTAACTGGACCATAGCTGAAATTAAGCGAATAGACGCCAAAACGAGAAAGCTTCTCACTTGCTATCGCATGCATCATCCCAAAGCTGATGTCGATCGTCTGTATGTGCCCAGATCCGAAGGAAGCAGAGGATTAGTTCAACTAGAACTGTCCTACAAAACTACAACAATTGGCCTCCAAAGATATTTAGAAACTGCAGAAGACTGGATGATGGTATGCGTCAAGGAACATGAAAGTAGTGTCTTTACTCCGTAATGAAAGAAGTCAACAAATTCAAAATGGAGTTTCAAATGGGCGTAGAGATGCAACTACACCACAATACACCGGCTGAAACTGCAAAATACCTAACAAAGACAGCAAAGACGAATGCAACTGACCAGATACAGAAGATGGCAAGATAAACCGCTTCATGGCCAATACTCTCCCCGTACCAAACAAGCTGACGTAGACAAAACCGTACCCATCAGTGGCTACGTAGTGCAGGGTTGAAAGCTGAAACTGAAGGTTTTATCCTTGTTGCGCAGGACCAATGCTTGCTAACTAGGAATTAACAAGCACATATACTAAAATATTGTGTCAGCCCAAAATGCAGATTCTGTGATAAATATCCAGAAACGATTGATCATCTTGTATCAGGTTGCACGGTGTTGGCACCCACTGAATATAAAACCCGACATGACAGAGTGGGCCAATATCTGCACTGGAAAATCTGCAACTTCTACGGGAAGGAAACTGAAAGAAACTGGTATGAACACCACCCAGACCCGGTTACGGAGATAGGACCTGTTACAATTCTATGGGACTATACAATACACACTGACAGAACAATCAAGGCCAACCGGCCAGATATTGTTATTAAAGACCACAAACAAAAACAGTGCCTCCTTATTGACATGGCAGTCCCTGCTGACTGCAATGTATCTTTGAAGATATTCAAA